AGCAAAAATAGATTTACTTTGGCATAAATACTCTGAATTAAAATCAATAGAAAGACAAAAATTAGAAGAACAAGAAAAATATAAAAATAAAAAGAATTTTTGTAATAAAGTTTGTAGAATATTTGATTAATCACGTAAGTCTTTAATTGGAAGAAGAACAAGAAAAATATAAAAATAAAAAGAATTTTTGTAATAAAGTTTGTAGAATATTTGATTAATCACGTAAGTCTTTAATTGGAACCTTGAAAGTCCAACATAGTGTAGTCCAACGTAGTTTCACATAGGTCTTTAATTGGAGCCTTGAAAAGCAATGTTTTTAAACTCGGACCGGTCAGTGAACCGGAGAGGTGGCCGGTTCGCGGTCCGACCGGTCCAACCGGCCGGTTCAAAGGTTCACTTTTTTTTTTTTTTTTTTTTAGTGTTAAGTACTAAGCAGGTTTCATTCTACACTTGAACTTTACCAACATAACTTAATTTAAGTTATGATAATAATAAATTTTCTAAAAGTTATACATAAAACATGGAATGATAAATATAATTAAAATATCATAATTCACCATAAGTTTTCATAAATTCATTATAAACATAAATAGATACAATCCAAATGTTCACCAATTATCACAAATAAAAACACAAAAAATAAATAAATTAAATATTGAAATTCTTTTACAACCCTTAAAAAAATCCATAAAAGAGTTCAAGTTAAGACAAACTATTTGAATAGCAAACTTTTATCAGTGGCATGATAAGCAACCACACCACCTTCACAATTTCATCAACTTAAGCTGAAAAAGTTAAAATTTTATTATAAAAATATAAATCTAATTGCTCAAACTAAAAAAAACTAAAAATTTTTGAAAAACAAATATACAGTTAAACACATAAAAAATTAATTGCTACTAAACATTACTAATTAACATGTTATATTAAATTCAATGATCCTATACCATTAATTATTTTAAATTCAATTATCAATAGCTTCGATTATGTGCCAACTACCATATTTTTGACCAGCCCAATGTTATTATTTGTAATTCCTACCCAATTCCTACACGGATGTGCACTACTTTTGCAAAAATTTCATCCTTAATTAATCGAATAAAAATAAAACAAAAATGAGGGAAACATATGAAAATTGAGGGGAAAAAGAAGAAAATGCAAAAAATCAACTAAAGATAATAATATAGAAAAAAAAAACCTTGAAAAGAAAAAAATTAAACTTACTAAGATGTTGGAAAACAAGAAAAGTTGAAATTTTCAACTTGTTTACAATTTGCTAAAGATAATAACCTGATAATAATGGTGAAGACTTGAGAAAATCTTGTTGTGGATATTTGGGTTAAAAATGGTTAAGAAGAAAAAATTGAAAAAAAAATAAGAGAAGAACTTGATGTTTTAATATATTTTTTAGTCAAGTAGAATTCTCAACAAACTTAACTATAGTCTAGCGGTGAGATTGTCATATCCAAACTTGGAGACCCAGGTTCGAATCGTAGCTACACCATTCTTGATATTTTGTTGAAGAATTTAAAAAATCGCCGGTTCACGGTTCTTAACGGTTCGTCCGGTTCGTCCGAGTTTCAACGGTTCTCCATGAACTTCCGGCTTTAGCATTAGACCGGACCGGTGACATGGCCGGTTCGCTGTCCAACCGGTCGAACCGGCCGGTCCGGCCCGATTCTGAAAACATTGATTGATAGTAGGACTCCAAGTATGAGTCTTCTCTTTATCAGCAAAAAGGTATGAAATTAGTTTTATTATCTTCTTGTAGGCCACATTGACGGAGCATTTTAGCAGTCTCCCACGTGTGAAGTAATTTGCTCCAAAAAGTACCTCATTTTTGTAGTTTTCTGTTTCATTCCCTGAAATTAAGTTCAAATACCAAATATAAGTAAATATTAATAATTAAAACAATATTTGGCAAGAACAAAGGAAAAATTAATAATAAAATAATCAATAATTAACACCCTATCAGATTTATTTAATTTTTTAAGACCACTTTAATTCATTTAATGTAGTTGTTGGCAGAGGGTAATCCACGTCATCCATTTATATCCGTATTGAGTAAGTAAAACTTAAAAAAAAAAGAAAAAAGAAAAAGAAACACACATAAACAGAACTAGGGTCTCTGTGATAGCAAATGCAACTATAGACGGCTGTTCATAGTCCGAATCAAACCAGCATAACTCTTTAAATCAACGGCCAAGATCAGGCCAATTTGAGTTGGCCTAATCTAAGTCATGAATAGCTTGGTGTGGTTGCACCTGCACCATCCCTTCATTCACTTATAAACCCTAGCAATCTGAGCTATTATGTAGTAATAGGATTGTAAATGAGCCGAAGCCTTAACGAACAATTTGGCCTCACTTGTTAAGGCTTCAATTCGAGTTTGATTTGCGACGAACTCGAATTTGAATTCGAATAAAATTTAGAATTCATTTATAGTATCGGATCAAGTTTGAATTTGTAGATATTCTGCTCGTTAAGATTTGATTCAATTCAATTAATTTTTAATTTTTTTGTTTAAAATATTTGTTAATATTTTAGATAAAATTATATTTTTATTATTTTATTAAATATATTATATGCACTAGTAATAATTTAATATTAAAATGAAAGGATTAAATAAATTTTAGAGCTCTTGAATCGAGCTTGAACTCATTGAATATGAAATCGAATCAAGCTCAAGTTTAGATTTTGAGTTCATATAAGATTTGAGTTCAAATTCAAGTTCGAGTCCAAAACTTTAAATTGAGATTCGATTCATTTATAGCCCTATAATTTAGGCACTAGATATGAAAGTTTCTGTGACGCATCTTTTTCTTGTTTGTAATTTGTATCCAATATTACTTGTCAGCTAATCCAGGTCTATATTTTAAACTTGCAACTTTATACACAGATAGGCATTATGTTCCTTTTTTTGGAGGATGTACGCTAATTGAAATAAAAAAATACTAGTACGAACTTATTAAGAACATGAAATTCTTGTTTAAAATAACAAAAGGAAAAAGGAATAGAATCCACATTTCCAAAAATAGATAAAGCTCAAGAAAACTAAATATAAAGAAGGATTTGTTAATTGAATGTCGTTACATTTTCGCAACTAGTCTTTTTTTCCGCGGATAATCTTGTCTATGGCCAGTAATTGGATATAGGCTAGACTAAAATTTATTTTAGCTCTGGTATGTACCATGTAGCCCCAACTTTATAAACTTAAAAATTAAATTCTCTTTTGTTCATGGTTTAATTCAATATTTTTTTATTAGAATTTTCTTGCCAAGAATTGGTAAATAAGTATTATCATGCTGCCAATGAGGCCTTCATCAAGTAGTTAAGGTTGAGGTTTAGGAGTTTTTTAAGTTAAATCTCACCAAGTTCTGAATCTTATTGTCCAAATTCAATCAATTGTAATAGCTTCATAAATTGTAATCTTATTGAATTACATATACGTCGATGTGTAATATATTTTAATTCTCATTCATGCTTTTGAGAAATTGCATATTCAGTTTCATGAGACTTGTGTCTTTCATTCTTGTATTTATTTTTAATTTGGAAGCAATCATTTTTTAGTGAGGACATCATTAATTGAAATTTATCACTCTCAATCTAAATTATGTTTTAATACTTGAACAGGAAAGTGGCTCGATCTAGTTAGACCAATAATAAAAATTGCATGATATCATAGATTTAGTAATTATTATCAAATAAATAAATAACATGCAAAAAAAAAAGTACAAAAAATAGTATTCAAAAAACAAAGAAATTAGAAAACACATTTTTTTCCAAAATTTTTTGATCAAACTGTTAGGCCAAGTTCTCCGAGTCAATGAATGTTCGATTTTTGTCAACTCGAACTGAATAACCATCCAATTTTTTTCAACCAGTTGAATTAGCCGGTCTGATCCCATTCCAGTTTAGAAATACTGGATTTAAAAAGAACATATATAATATGATGTTTATAGCTATCCAACTTCGTTATACAAGTTGCATCTGCTTTTGCATTAGCGAATTTTACAAACTCGGCCTTCACTTAATAGTTGTTACTAATTAGCGGCGGATATCTTATAATAGTGACCTTTGTTTCAAGCTAGTTAACAAATAACCAAAATTTTCTTTCCTATTGGTTCCTTAAATTGCCATGGAACCTATTCTCTTTTCTTCATGGAACCATTATGTTTCATTTTATTGCTCCAATTTCTTTAAGAACTAAAGGAAATTTTGAATGTGTTTGTGAAGTAATTTATATTAGTAATAAAAAGGGATAATTAAATACTAGAAATAAAAGATCTGCAATTTCTTCACACATGTTTTGCTCATCATAATTTTCTTATTGAAGAAGAGGAAATATTTACGTTACCAATACTTCATTTTTTGTCAATCTATCTAGAGATGGATTCGTTACACTAGCAAAAGAGAAACCATCTCCTTTGACTGACCAATAACATGTGTTAGTTAGTCTTATAGTTACTACCACAGTGAGTATAAGCTGTCTTTATTAAAACCCTCGAAACCAGTACTCTTCGGCGGCCATGAAAATCCACAGTTGTACAAAGTGGTTTCCCACAAATTCATGCGAAATTTCAAATGGAACCCATTATTCGTACCAACTCACCAAGCTGATGAATTCCAGGACCATCATTTTTCGATTTACAATGGACGGTTAAGAGGACTAGTATCACTGGGAAGGTTATTGACTATATAAAACTCTATATGGTTCTAATCCAGCAAATACATGCATGGTTTGAAAGTAAATAGTGTCACGCCCCAAGCCCGCACGTGCATGTTACATAACATCCGCCGTACTCCCAGGTCCCATCTCGAATACAAGGCTACATTAACTAATTAAACTTGGCAATACTAAATAATTAAACAAATAAAGTGCGGTTCGAATTACATATAAAAGGAAGTCTACAAATATTCAAGGCGTTCGTACATTTATTCTCCAATTGAAACAGCGGAAACAAAAGTAAATAAGACTAATAACTAGAAGTAGCTAGCCTGCCAACTTCTATTCATCTAAGCTAATAAAAGTCATCCTCAGGGTCTTCTATGTAAACCAGTTCATACTCCTCAGAATCTGCAAAAATGGTAAGAAGTGGGTTGAGCGACACATCGCTCAGTAGGTAATATTTACCCCTCTGTTGGACCATGCACTCTTACTTTTATAGATACATAAGTATATAAGTACAACTCAAATCGTTTGCATATCACTCACATCCGTAATTTTGAAAATAACGTCATTTGTAAAGCAATCAGCAGTAAATAAGGACAAGCAATTTAAAAGCATCTTATTGATAGTTGTACATGAGAAATTGCAAAGTCATAAATCATTTCGTCTCAAGTCACAAATCTCTTCATATCCATTCGTAAATCAACTCATATCAGTTCTTAAGTCTCATTTCAAATCAGTTCATAAATCATTCCATCAGATCAGCTCATAACAAGTACATGCAATGACCAGCTACTGAGTACTCAACCTAGAGATTTTACCCCTTCTAAGTGGGCGACCAATAGGTTTCATGACTGCCGATTGGTCTTATTTCATTCTTGGGTCAATCGGCTGGGTTTTATACCAGGCTACCATGACTTTCTCAATTGATCAATCGGTTGGGCTTTATACCAGGCTACCATGACTTTCTCAATTGGTCAATCGGCTGGGCTTTATACCAGACTACCATGACTTTATCAATTGGTCAATCGGTTGGGCTCTATATCAGGCTACCATGACTTTATCAATCGGTCAATCGACTGGGCTCTATACCAGGCTACCATGACCTCACCAATCGGCTGGGCTTTATACCAGACTACCATGGCGATTAGACAGGACTATAGTCCCTACCGTCTATTCCATGACTGCTCTGAGTTTTACTTTTTAAAATTCATTTCATATATCGTATACATAAATCTTTGCTTTCATTAAAGATTCAGCTCATTTTGTATATAGAAACATATCAACACATTTCAAATAAGTCACATGGTCTATTTTTGTATAGTAAAATATAACTTTCATAAATATCCAAGCAAAACATTTAATCAAACACCTTTCGAGTCAACACAACAAAATAGCATTGAAACAAAAATTCACTTTGCACGTTTGAAATCTCAGAAGGGTAAGTACCACCTACCTTTGTTTAGCTGCTCGAGTGGAACTACTTTAGATTCTTGTACCGTACCTATCAAACGCATGAGGGCCCTAATTAGTTGTTACTTCCTATAGATGCATAAATATACAATCTCTAAGTAAGCATAAGATTCGTACCTAGACCATTAAATGGATCCTAATAGCATATCCCTCAAATTGGGTGATTTCTATTTTTGGAAAGTTTCTATTTTTAGAAAGTTTCTTAATTTGCAAAGTTTCCCCTTTTGTAACGTTTTCTAATTTAAAATAAAATAATTATCCATAATCATGTTTATTATTTTGACTGTTATCTTACTATACATGTTTATAATTTATAATTATTTATTATTATTATTATTATCGTCCGTGTCGTTGCTACTTTATTTTATTACCACTTACATATATTTATTAATTAGTTATTATTACCTTTCACTTTATTCCTACCTTTGTGCGTGTGTAGGTGTTATTATTATTTATGTATATATGTACATATATATATTTTGCTTTATTATTATAATTATTGTCTTAATTTATTACACTTGTATTTATCTTTATATTTTCGTTTATATCCTTTATTTGTTTCGTCCATATTATTGTTACTATTATTACTATTATTATTTTAGGCGCTTTGTTCAACAATCTAGAGCTTATCTTACATTGTATAACTTAATCTAATAAGGCTAGGCTAAAGTGTTTTAGATTTCTATTTAAGTACTTTAGACTTAATTAATAAAGTAATATTTTACATGACTAACCCTCAACACTAACAATCATATTAAATTGGGTCCTGAATTTTAATATTCACACTATACTATAAAAATGGACTAGTTATATTTAAATCTATTTATTAAATATTTACTAAATTTTTATACTATAATTTGGTCCAAGTTTAAATTGCTCCCTTTCTACTTATTTACTTTTGTTTATTGTTATCATTAATTTTCATTTTATTTTATTTTATTATTATTATTATCATTAATTTTTTTTTATTTTTGGTGGGCCAACCATGGCTGACCATTGTCGCCAGAGAGTCTGGCGACCCAATTTCCTCAATTACGGCCAACCACAATTGCTCCATTGTCGCCAGCACTTGCTGGCGACGACATCATCTCATCTCCTTTTTTTTGTTTTTTGGTCTTTCGGCCAACCTTGAAATTCCTTCCTTTGCCGTCAGCAACGGCGGCTCTTTTCCCCCTTGTTTTTTTTTTTTCCTCTTTTGTTGCGTTGCGGACAGGGGCAGCGGCAGCCGCCGCTGCTCTTCCCTCCTTTTCCTTTTTTTTTTTTTTTTTTTTTTCTTTTCCGCTGCTCTTCCCTCCTTTTCCTTTTTTTTTTTTTTTCTTTTTCTCTTTTAACAGATTGGGAAATCTATTCATCCCAAGATTATAATCTATCACCCTATTCCTACTAATCCAAACATGAATCCTCCTAATCTCTTATAGAAACGCATATATCAATATGTATATAACAATAATATATATCTATAAAATATTTAGGATAATTAATTCGATTACTAGAATTTAAAGAAGAGGTTTCATGTGAATTTGGGACTTACAGGTTTAGGGACCTAGTCGTCTGATTGATTGACGGTGACGCTTGCTTTTCCTTCTCTATTTTCTGACGGCTCTTGCTCTAAGGGGAGGCAGACAATAAAAGGTAGGGAATAGGTTTTTTTTTTTTTGTTTATATATATATATAAATATATATAAGTGTGCCAAACCCTAATAACCACACACTAGTAAATGGATTAGATAAGAGTTTTAACTGTCATGAACTTTTACCCTATCTTATCTCATTTTTATCCCTCAATAAATCCTTTAACCTATCCTATAATTATTTTTGCTTTTACCAAGGGTAAATTACCATTTAATTAAATTGGGCAAGATAGAATGAGCCCAAAAATCGTGGGTTTTACAAATAGTTAGGACAAATAAGGAAAAAGGGATTTTAATTGAAAGAAAACTCATTTTATTTGCTATGATCTTGCTTTTGAAATGCTTAATTTGCCATAAGTTATACATATATACATATATATATATATATATATATATATATATATATATATACGGACACATATGTGTGTACGCGCGCACGTGCTGAGGGGGGATATTGTTCCCTTTTTTTTTTATGGAGGAAAGACCACGATTGAGATAAGATGAACACGAAACTTCATGCATTAGAATAACAAAAGGAAAAAGGAATAGCATCCACTATTCCAAAATGTAGATGGTGAAAAGCTTTTCTTTTTTTTGACTTATTTATTTGTTTTTTGGGAAAAAATTATGTTTAGAAACATAACAAATTACATGCATTTAGTACTCTCATCTTAAGAAATCCTCTTGCAAGCAGGCTTGCGCAAGATCCTTCTTTCAAACCCTGTTTATGCAATGTTTTTGTGTCTCCAAGGATAATACCGGTATCTAGGCTGTCTTAACCTTCAAACTTGGATTGAAAATAAAATAAGACCCTTGATGTAGTAGAATTCTAGGTAGATACAAAATAAAAACTGTTTGCGAAAAGATTTTCTACCTTGTTTAGGATTAAAAATTGATTAAAAGGAACTAGAAATAGAAACAACCTGCCTAAATTGTTGCTATAGAATAGAAAATTAACTTGATTAGAGTTTCTGATGAATGTGCGTGTCCTTTCTCAGTTCATTCTCCTTTCCTTTGTGCAGAAAATACCAAAAACTCCAATTGAAACTCTACCTCTTGTGATGAAATTTCTATCTCAACCCATCTTCCTTTCATACAACTTCCTCCCTTAAGCTTTGTTTTCTTGCTGATAAACTATTGGGCTCATTTCCTTTGAGCCTCTCATCTAAAATATATATTTTTAGGGCCCAACAAAAACAATCAAGAAAAAAAAAAAGCATACGATTTCTTTAATATATGTGAACATGGAGTAGTTATATATTCTACATCAGATTATGCAGTTCATCTATCCTTTAGAGAGAATAAATTGGATGGTGATTGAGAAATTTTATGTCGGTTTGAAACAATTCCTTTACATGCCTAATAGTTAAATTATTAAGCGATCGTTAAAATATGAACTATCAAAATATATGACACACGAATTATGTATACATCCATCTAGGTTGTATTTTTCCTGGTCTTAAGAAAACACAAATTTTACAAAATATTGGCATGAATTTGTTAGCTTCCCTTAATACTTATGGTACTACCAAAGATCTTGATAAAGGATGGCCTCCTATCATCACCATATATTGGACCAAGAATGCAAAGAAACAAAACTGATACAAATTCCAACAAAGAAGAAAAGTAAAGAATGAAAGAGATTTTACTTATTAACAGCATTGAATGACAATTTTCTCACTTATCACCAAGTCTGCTTTTTCTTCAAACTACCCGCAGGTGGATTAAGTATATTAGCAATATAAAAACCATCACTTTGTACTGACCAATAGCATATGTTGTCCTTAGCCTTGCGACCACATTCATGATCAGCCAAGCCTGAATCAAAAACTGTGAAAGTAATATTCTTCTGAGCCCACAGAAAACCACAATAGTACAAAGTGCTGTCCCAGAAATTCATGCGAAAATGCCAATGGAAACCGCCATTCTGAAAAAGATGTTGAATTCCCAGGTCATTATTCTTTGATTTGCAATGAATGATTAAAGGGCTAGTATTATCAGGAAGATTGTTGACTACATAGACATCATATGGTTCCAAAGTTGCGGAAACATATATCACTGGGGAAATATAAAGTGTCAGAATTACGAAGGAGAAATGGGTTTTTGCTGAAATATAACACATTTTACCAGCTGGTGATCTTGCTTTCGATTGCCACAAATTATAGACGCCAATGATTCAGCATAATAAAGTTGGAGATATTAATAATGAAGAATATCTGTCTTAATATAGAGCTAAAATAGAGATGGGAAATCAAATCAAACGTAAATGAGTATATCTATTACCGGAGGAATGAGCATACGTTATTGTGCAGTAAATATTTGTTACCAGTAATGAATGTTACCCTTAACCATTGTGACCACATTCATCATAAGGCAAGCCATCATAAATGAGAAATTGCAAAGTTGCAGATACTTTGATCGATGTTGAAAATTAGACCCTTAATTGAATTTCAAAACCTCCTACTTAACCTTTAACGTTTTGCTAATTCATTTTATTCATGAATTTCAGGCACATCTACACCTTATTTTTGAGACACTCATGTGGTTTTATAATATTTAAAGGTATCGAAGTAACATATAAGAATTGTACAAGTATATGTAACTTTCAAAATCACATAATATATGATGCTACTTGTAAAGCGCATGAAATTTAGAGGGAGCTTCTTGTGATGGTTAGAAATCTCATGGAGGTTTATGAAATCATCCCTGCATATAATAAAGCACATGAAATTCAGTTTAAAAACGAAATTAATTTTTCTTGCAGTACTTTTTATAACTTGGAATATGCAAGGGGATTACTTGCTAATAAGTTAGAATAATTCCAAAAGATCTGCTAGAATTTTTTTCCATTCAAATGACAAAGCAATGCAGTTGGCTTTTTTTTTTTTTCAATTTATTCTTTTATTATTCTGATGTCTCTTTGGTAAGACTTAACAGGTCTATAATTAATAAATGAGCTGAAATCTGATGAGTTTAAGATATTGAGATACTACAGAATAAAAAAAGTGTCATCAGCCAAAAGATGTCAAATTTTTGGAAGACCAATTTGGATTTTCATACCGGAAAGCAAATACCCACTACTTCACATATTAAATTTGCTAATCTTTTTAATTAACAACAAAAGGGTGAAAGGGGGTTCTTTTCCTGGCTACAACAATTAAGAAATCCTTCAATGGAACAGTTATCAACTTTTATCATTTCCTTTTCAAACAAATTTGTTTTTTTTCCGTAACATTTTGACAGTCAATTGACATCTTGCAGTTACAAGTTATGACAAATTAGACATATCGTAATTGATATTATTACTGAACCAACGTTTAGACTTTTAAATTATCAGCTTAAAGAGCAAAAAATTCCCATTTCTTCCATATGCCAGCTTAATATTTTTCTCATCCATCTCAGCATTTTAGAATAAGGTGCCAATATTATATAGGAAATACCGTTTATTACCAGAAAACTCCAAGTTACCACCTCCCAAAAAAGACAAAGAAAGGGAAAAAAAATCTCAGCATTAGACTGTGATCGTTGAATTTTAGTGACTTTATATGCGGATTAAATGCCAATTTTTCACATCGGATTAGTAACAAAATAATTAAAACCTCTTCTCTGTTGGGTGATTTCCACGAAATCCATTAGCTTCTTCATGGAATTTCATCATTTTTTTTCATTATCTTTCAATTTTTTGTCCCTGCATTTTGATTCATAAACTGGTGGAAAACTTCTTACCAATGTACTCTCTTGAAGTAATTTAGTATTTGAAGTATGATCTCGTGTGTTTAGCATATGTATGAATATAAGTGGAAGAACGCAATCGCAAAAAAGCAATCAAAAGTCAAAAGACAAGCCCATAAATCAATCACGTTTAAAAATAAATAATTGGCGAAGGAAGCTAAAGAAATCATTCTTCCCAACCCATATCTTGTTCAAACTAGCAGAAGCTGGTGGATTCTTTAGTTGGCAAAATAAAAACCATCTTTTCCTAGTCCTAACAGAAGATTAGTTTTATCAATTGTGATTCTCAACCCAAAAATGAAAACAAAGCGAAGAGTGCAACAAATTTCAGCAAGACTAGTGAATTCAAAGAGATCCGATTGTGGTTATAATGCATAAGCATTTACATTCTCATTTTTATCAAGACGTCTCAAATCACCAGATTATTTACAATTTTTAATGTTAAGTGGACAACAATATGCATTGGCATGTTGCAACAATTTTCCTTCTTCTCATGTCTAATTGCATGATAAACCTTTGTAATCTCTTTAATTATGATAGAAAAAATAAATAAAACAACCCTCTCTCCTTCTACAATTGTGCATTACTTCCATTGCCATTATAGACTCAATGGGAATTCAAGTTCAATGGGGATAGAGGCGAATGGGAAGTCCTTTCGCAGGCAAAGGGACAGGTACCACCACCGTATTCTCATCAGGAATGAGTTTTTCCCATCTAAACTTCCCCACCACATTGTAAATAAAGACCAGTATAACCAATCGAGCAATATCTTTTCCGGGACATATCCGAGGTCCTCTGCCAAAAGGGACATATGCATAAGGTATTGATCCAGTTCCTTCAGACCTGGAGGGATCAAACTTTTCTGGTTGAGGGAAATACTCTGGGTTCTTGTGCGTTGTATTGGGGGTCCAATATATCTGTACAAAATACCAGGGAGTTAGATACAAAGAGAATTTGAGGGTATCACATTTGTACACTACATGACCATTGCAAAGTAAGAGTAACCGTTTTTTCAAAGGATTTCAGTAGCATAACAGATACTGTATGTAAAATAGAAAATGAATACCTCTACAGAAGGGTTTTGTTTGGCTTGAGAAATTTGAATAAAGATTTAAAATCCATCTAAATCGCTCTAGTTGTTTGGATTACTTAAAAAGTATCTAGATTTGTAATTTATTACTTATTTAAATACATTTTCAACACTAAATTAATTGGTAGTTTATAAATCCAAATATCTCTTGAGTAATTTAAACAATTCAAATGATTTGAAAGGATTCAAATTCTTCATCAAATCTCTCAATCTAAACACAACTTGGAAAGTCATTACTTGTCATTACTTGGGATTTTCAAGATTCGTGAGTGTCTAGAAAATAGGGATGGGCATACTTATAATTTAAGGATATGGAAATAGATTAGCAATACGTTTGAGAGAAATAATTTGTAAGTTTCTCAATTTTTAAGAGTGAGTTTTTTATACGTACACTGTCAGTGTACAAAATTTTTTATTCTAACAAATTTAGATCATACCACATAAGATAAACTCAAATTTAAAATTTAAATCAGCCACATGTGATATTCATTCATTATTGCTAACATAAAAATATCACTACATTGTCAGTACATAAATAGTCTCTTCTTCTAAAATTCTTTTCCTTTTCTAACTCAATCAAAATTTCCTTCATCTCTCTTCCACATTAGAGGAAGTGCTCTCTCTGGTTCTTAGCTTCTCTTGTTTGAATAAATTCTTTTCTAGGATTTCCCAATGAGAGATTCTTCTCTCCTAAGATTTCTTAGTGAGAGTTTTTCTTTTCTCTCCTAAATTGTTCTAGCGCAGTTTCCTGAGTTTTTCTTTGTGAAAGTTATTTTTGTTTATCTTTTTTGTGAAATTTGAGATTTTGTAGATTTAAGATCTATTTTTTCATATATGCAATTTTTCTATTATTGTCAAATTTAAAATTTTTCTTTGGACTTAAATCAGTTTTAATCAAGTGTGACTATCAAAAGACATACACAAATATGTTAAGCTACAATGATTCATTCGAATGGAAGATGTGTAAAAGTATCAATATTATCTTTATTTGTATTGATTTATTAAATATGTTATATCTATAGATTTCAGATCTATATGTATATGGATCATGTTTGATATATTTTCTGCCATTATTGCAAATTTATTAAATGAAATGATCTTTTTGATCTCAGTACTTCACAAGCCACATTCCAGGCATACTTCATGTTCTGTAGGTCTTTCCAATTTAGCGGCTCCCCAGGAATTTTCTTTTCTGCAATGCTCCTTTGTTCTTGTTAATTCCAAAATTCAGATCAGAAGGGTCAGTCCAATACTTTCTTGCAATTATATATAAAAGGAAAATTGTAGATTTTTCTACCTTTTACTCTTTTAGGACTTCATCATAGATATCGGGAAATTCAGCAAGATATTTCATAACAAAAGTGATGGCTGTGGTAGTTGAGTCTTGGCTACCGATAATCGAGCCCCATATTTTATCAGCAGTTTCCAGCTCAGACATGAATTTGCCTCCATCATCTGGCACGGTTAGCAGATATGATGAAAGATCATCAGCATGACATGATTTCTTTTCCACGAGATCCATTTTTCTTTGCCTTATAATTCCCAATAATTTCTTTCTTATAGAATGTGCGGCTTTGATTCCACGATAAAATGAAGTCCCTGGTAAGTTTATAGGAAGGGAGAAAATCCCAGCAGCCATTACATCAAATGGCTCGGAAAAATGTTGGATTTGATTAGGATCATTATCAATGCTCAAAAAAACTCTACAGGCTTCCGTGAAGGCAAACTTCTTGACAAGTGATAAAACATTGACTTCTTTTTGGAATCCCAGTGAGTTTGAAAGTGTTTCTTCGCGACAGAATCGACAACCTCAACAAGATTATGCAGAACATCAGGTTTGAAAAATCCTAACAGCATGACACGGAGCTTCAAGGAAGAATCAGCTATTGTTGTTGTTGGCGTTGCAGAATATGGGAAGATTTTCCTGATATTTCTTGGAAAAGCAAGAGAAACAAGCTTATTCTCATTTGAGAACAGAAATTTGTTTGCTGCAGCCCCACAAAAAACAGCAGTTGGTTCTGAAAGTAGTGAGGTTTTGAACACTTCCTTGGAGTATTTTTTCATTCTATCCATGAAAAATTTTTCAGGGATTCCCTCCTGTACCATGTTGAATAATTGGAAGGTTTCTCCAACAATTGGCCAAAACCAGTTGTGCCAGGGGGGAGTTGAGAATTGAATATGGCTTTGGATTTTGGTGGGAAAGAGATTACTGTTAGGCAAGAAAGGAGGAGAAAAATAAATAGAAGCAAGAGCTCCATGTATAATATCTCTTGGCTGCCTAGTTGCTACTTTTGGTAACTGGGACTTGGATAAATTCATCTCTCAAATAGGCTCTTATATATGAGAAGGAGGTATGTAGCTTACATCAGTTTTCCATTCATGGCCTCCACTCCAGCATCGCCACATGGGCATTTGTAAAATATGGCCACGATTCCTGAAATCAATTGCTTAACCTTATTTCTTAGGCCAAATCTAATGTCAGCACTTCTGGATTTTTTAAACTTTTCTAAAGCGATAGACCTGGCCAAAATCATTGATGAATCTTCTAAGCACTTGAAGAAAACATTTATGAAGGTTGTGAATGTCTCATTTGAAAAAAAAAATTAATCGGAATAAGTATTTCAGATTTTTCTCCTTATCATTTTAGAGACATTCAAACTTATTCCTCCAAATTAACTTATGTTTTTCTCCAAAGAAAAAGGAAAGAAACAACAAATAGTTGGACAATCTCTTTGCTCCGAAGGTGGTTCAATTTATATTCACTGGTTGTACAATTTATTTCAAAGGCTTATTACCGTTAATTGTCAGCCCTAGTTATCAATATGGGATTGATGAATTTCAAACAGATCCTTAGTAATTGATGAGCATGTGGACATCGATGAAGTTGGAATACTAAATTTTTAAGACCCAATCAATGACTCCTTGGACTGTTGACCATCACTAAAGACTTTAAGTCTTGATGAGATGGGAGGTCAATGGTTCAAATCTTACCTCCAATCACTGTATCACTATATGTTGTCTCTCCTCCATACGAGTGCGTTACGCATTCGGTTAAGGTTAAATAGGAGTAAAGTAGATATTGTTCTCTGACAAAACAAAAAAAAAAAAAATTCTTAAGACCCACTCCGATGTTCCGAATTCTGACTTCTTTGACCATTATATTTTAGTAATAGAAAGTTCCGCTAACCTGTAGGGAGTGGCAGCATTTGACGCGGCCACTACCCCACAATGTTGGTAACAAAATTGCTCTTGAAAAATATAGTTGTTCTTTTTTAGTGGGAAATATTTCTAAACATATGGGTTCAGGTAAAACCACGAGTTCTGAATGCCATTGGAGAAATACAAACTCGTAAATGTTTGTGACAATGATATTCATGAAATGGTCAATACCCTTCTACGCAAGTTTTGTATAGCAGTGTATTTGCAGCTTTAAATCATTGTTACTGGTTAGCATGTTGATATATTTTCAAAAGGTCTACCAAGCTTGGATTTCAAATGAAAAGCACAAATATTAATTTTCTTAAATGCTAATTTGCCTACATATCAAAATCAAAAGCCAAAGATTATAAAATATTAGCTTAACATTTTGTCCGGCATGGTGTTTTATATGAGGTGCAGTCAATTGCTGTAAAGACTGAATCTTGGTACATAGAAAACTGCAGTTGCACTTGACTTCTGTGTTGCTGCTGGTGAAGAACTAAATTTGTGCAGATTAAGTCAATGTGATTTGATCTGCAGAGGAAGAGTTTCCTGGTCCATTCTCAGAGAGGATGAATTCTCATTTGATGCTTGGCTCTGCCGGAGCGGCATTTGATTTCACTAAGTTCGTGCTTTGTGAAATGATATCCCGGAATCACTTGGACTAATCTCCCAGGTTGGGCAGAACTCGCCCCAAAGATGCCCCAGCAACGGTAGCAAGTGGATATTGAACCTGGGACCTTACTGTAAAGACAGACAACCGGAACCGGCCGAGCTACCCACTGGGAGTATTCCATAGTTTATTAGGTGTTTTATTTCATTCGTTTAGTTAAGTTACTTGTGTGCTACTAGGAAGTTTGTGCCACATCTTTGTGTGTGATTTTAGCTTTAATAGTCGGTTGACTCCTAGTAATTTTAGTTAGATTAGAATGTGTCTTCAATAACTTATTCATAGATGGGATTTTTTTAGATCGGTTTCTCCCAACTCCAAAGTTTGTCGATCCAAATTCCTCCGTGTATATGTACTACTGTTTGTGTCACTTAGAGGTGTGGTATAGTAATAATAGAACTATTGTTTTGCCTCCCAAATTAAAGGCTCCACCCTTATTTTTTTGTTCCATGATTTATAGTACGTATGTTTGGATTGGCATGACTTGCAAAAAATTATTTAGTTGCATCTTAAATTACGTTTTTTAATCACTTTTTATCTTTTCAAATATCTTTTCATCTCATATACATCGTGTGTTAAAAATTGATAAAACGATTATTCTAAATAATATTTTAAATAATTATCTTTCCAAACACAACCAGTGTTAGCTCCAATATTATGTGAATTTAAAAATTTCCCAAGTGATGTTGGATGATATATGCTTCCATTTTGTGCTTTTTTAGAGCCAACATTTGGGGTTGTCATTGCTCACTTAAATAGGTAAAGCAGCAACTAAAAATCACTAATTGAGTATCAAAAGAAGCAACTGATAGTGACTAAGGAATCCACAAATCCAAATTAATAGCTAACAAAACCCTTTGATCATGTTTTAACCAAAAACAGATTCTCCTCTCCTTTTAAACTCGTTCTCTCCTCCTCTGTAAAAGTCTTCTATTTGGTCTCTTATCTGCAAAAAATTTTATGTATGTCTGAAGTAACTACTACTTAACATGCCTAGTAGTTGTTCCAAAACTAATAAAAAAGTTTCACATGGATATATAAAAATCCCATTTGTTAATTCACATGCCAATTAAACCCCACTTAATTAGTATGTTGAATTATAGTGACTCATTTGAGTGGAAGATACTTTTAGAGTTTCAATCATTCTCATGTCCATTGATTTTTTTTTTGGGACTTTTTCACTAGCTTCTCAATGATGTAGAAGAGCAGAACAATTTGCCTAGTGCCAAGTGACAATCCTCTATATGAGAATTATTAATGTGGAACGACTGACCTGTAGCCTTTGAGTACACCTAAGTAAAATCGACCTCTAAGTGCAAAATGTAACCAAAATTTTATAAAACAATATAAATTATCTAGTTGTTAACTTTTGGCATCTTATCTGTTTCAAGATTTAAATTTATCCCTCAATATTGTAAAGTGTCCAAATTTAGTCCTTTAATGCATTTTTTGCCCCTCATGTGTTTCAAGATTACAAACCCAAGATGCTAATTTTTTGTTTAAGAAACGATGAAAGGAAAAAAGGATTTGAATCAAACAAACTAATGTTTTGTTCTACATTTTAGATAAAATAGAACTCTGTCTCATTCATAGTAAAAAATAAACTTAGAAAAACACCAATCGACTCCTTAAATTCTGATTCCCTCTTGTTCTTCAAATACTAGGCCAACTAGCGACAGTATTTTAGACATGGCATAAACTTTCGTTCAATACCGAGAACAGAAACAGGTTCTGCAGATATACTGTCTTAGATTTGGAGGGTCACAAGGTAATCTGGCAGTCAATCAACTTAAGAAACAAAATTAGAAAATTTTGGAGTAGAATTTCTACAGTTTCTTGTTCAAGATAAGAAAAAGGTCAATGAAAGGTGAACGGAAAGGAAAATGGAACATCAGGATACAAAATTGACTTTTTGGACTAGAAATTTGCAACTTGCAAGCCAATAGCTTTTCATGTACAAGAAAAATCATTATATTGTAAAATCTCATTGCAAATTAGGGATGTGGCATAATAAAAACCATCCAGATTTAAACATTGCTTCCTCTAAAAGATAACCAAGTAATGGAATAAAATCTTCATCATGCACATTATAACGTACTAGATATTCACTTACACAACCAAAATTAGCAACATAGGATTGCTAAATTGAAAATAATAGCTCCCCAAAAAAAATTGATTTTTTCTACATTGGCATTGTGATGTCTAACTATATCAATGTGACGTTTGTGAGATAAAAAGACGATTGAAAATGTGTTAAGAGAATTTTTTTTTTTTATGTAAAAACTCACAATCCAAATAAGGCTAGAAAAATTGATCCATTAAAAGATAGTTCTTGCACAATGGTTTTTGTTTTTAAAAACAAATTCCCTCCTCACTAATCATGAAGAATTACCCATACCCAGATGTTTTAAGAGTCCCAAGAGGAGGATTCTTTGGCCGCCACACTTTTTTCTTTTCACTCAGCCTCTTTTGTCGCAAGTCCTTCCGGCAACAAATTGATCATTTCCCTGGGTTGCCTCATCGGTGCTACTCGTCAGTCGGCCGCGCTGCTGCTCAAACCACTCCCTGAATCGCTTAGATATCTCGGCCTTCTTCGTGGGACGTCGTTCATTTTGCCCCGACTCCACCTCCGCCGCCGGCTCCTTGGTTTTCTTCCCAAGCATATTTGTAAAGCAAGACATGGCGGAGAAAGCTTTCTTTCTTCTTCTTCTTCTCTTTCTTTCTTTTTTTTTCCCCCGTGTTGGTGGTGGTCTTTTTTATGGTTGTATAAA